CCCTTCGGGAAAAAGGGGTCCTCACGTCCAGGGTCTTAACCCAGACACAGTCCGGAGTTCACCGCTGCTTCTCCCTCAGTCGTGCTCTTAAAGTGTTGTAGAATTTCCACTTGTGCTTGCCTCAGAGAAACAGCGCCCATCCTGGGCCTGGCCAGGCAGCACCTGGAAGAGAAGTGGATTTTGCACAAGGCTGTGTCTAGGGCTAGATTGGGGAGCCTTTCGGTGAAGGAATCTCAGATGGCCTTGGTCTGAGGCCCCTGCTTTGCTCCCTGTCCAGGAAGGAGTCGGCCCTAAGAAGCTGGATTCCCTGACCACAGGCTTTGGCTTTCCCGTGGGTGCTGCCACCCTGGCAGATGAAGTTGGTGTGGATGTAGCGCAGCACGTGGCAGAAGATCTGGGCAAAGCCTTTGGGGAACGGTTTGGAGGTGGAAACGTGGAACTGCTGAAACAGATGGTGGCCAGGGGCTTCCTGGGTGAGTAGCCACAGGGAAACCTGAACGGCAATGTCAGTTACAAAGTTCTGGGCAGCTTCCTGCAACTGGAGAGCTGCAAAGGCCCGGGTGGAAGAATTCCTGAACACAGACTGGTGGTAGGGCATTTCAAAAATGATTTTGTGGCCGGGCGTAATGGTGGACACCTATAATCCCAGCACTTGGGAGGCTGAGGCAGGAGGATCACTCTAAGTTCAAGACCAGCCTGGGCTACATAGTGAGACCCTGTCAAAAAAAAAAAAAAAAAAGACTGTGAGAAACTCCTGTTAGATTAGGCCTGTGGATTACAGACAAAAGGCAAAGGCCTGGGCTTTTGGGCCCTCTGTCACTACTGGGCATAAGTTATGCCAGATGGACAAACACCGTGCCCAGATCCTCTTCTACATCCGTCGAAGCAGCAGCAAAGTCACTGCTTGGCACAGGTCTCCTCGGGCCTGGTGTTCCATATCTGGATATTTAAACTCACTCACTCGAGTGGCCTTCCCATCCAGACACAGATTTCCAAGCTCCAGAAAGCACAGAGTGTGTGTGTGGTGGTGGTGTCGTTGTTTTGAGACAGTGTCTTGCTAAGCTGCCCAGGCTGCCTCAGCCTCCCAGAGGGCTGGGACTGTAGGAGTGCACCACCACATCCCGCTTTTGCCGGTCTTCCACTAATGACTGAATTGCTGGGTTTGACCAAGACGACCAGGCTCAGGAATGCAGAGAAGAGGCAAGAGCCTCGTGGCAGGCCCCAGAGATGGGAGATTCTTGGCCAGGAATGAGGGGGGTAGTAACACGGCCTCCACCTCTCTTTAGGTCGCAAGTCTGGGAAGGGCTTTTACATCTACCAGGAGGGCTCAAAGGATAAGAATTTGAACTCTGACATGGATGGTATCTTCGCCAGTCTGAAGCTGCCCGCTAAGCCTGAGGTGTAAGTCAGTCTGAGTGGCGGATGGCATGGATGTTCCTCCGGAAGCCCCAAGCTCCCTCGCCTCTGTCCATTCTCTTCTTGGTGCCCCGAGCAGAGAGAACGCCCTAAGGCTGGCCCAGGCCTTTCCAGGGCAAGCCCTCACCCTAGCAGGCATCGCCGTGAGGAGGCCAAGCCCAGGGAAGGCCCTGCTGCTCTGGCCGTCCCAGCAGCATCCCAGAGAGCAGCTGGGCAGATTGCCCAGGCCCCTTGATCCCCCAGGTGTACTGTCATTTCTGAGCACCTGACTGTTGCTGGTGTCAGAAAACACCAATTATCCCACTGTGCAGGGTTCCCTGGGCTGAGCCCTCTGCGGTGGGTGTGGCCCTGACTGCTCCCGGTGCCCACCTGCCCCTCACCCTGCACCCCTCCTGCCTCCCGTTCGTCCACGGCTGGCCATCCTTCCTGTCTGCAGCTCCTCTGACGAAGACATCCAGTACCGCGTGGTGACAAGATTTGTGAACGAGGCAGTCCTGTGCCTGCAGGAAGGCGTGCTGGCCACCCCCGAGGAGGGCGACATCGGAGCCGTCTTCGGGCTTGGCTTCCCCCCGTGTCTCGGAGGTGCGTCTGCAGGCTGAGTTAGCTCTTGGCCTAGCGCCCATTCCCATCTCCTTACCAAAGTTGTTTTCCACTCAGGGCCCTTCCGCTTTGTGGATCTGTACGGTGCCCAGAAGATAGTGGACCGGCTCCGGAAGTACGAGGCCGTCTACGGAAAACAATTCGCCCCTTGCCAGCTGCTCCTCGACCATGCCAACAGCCCCAGCAAGAAGTTCCACCAGTGAGCGGGCCTCACCCTGCCATCCACCGGCACTGACCCGCCGCCCGCAGCCCTGCTCGGTTCCTGGCGCTGTGTGAAGCGTCAGGAAGCAGGAGACCGCATCTGCCTTGGCCTGCTCCTCCATTAAAGTGCCTTCCTGAGTCTGACTGAATCGGGGTTTACACTTCACGTCGGAAGGTGGACCCACCGTGCTCCTTTGGTGAGCCCTGAAGCGCCCTGTTCCTGCTGGGGCCAGTGGTGGCAAGGGCATTCCGGCACCCAGCCAGATTGCACCCAGGGTAACAATAAAAACCAAACAGCCTCTGCTCGCTGGGTCTGTTTCCTTCTGTCCTTGCCCTTCTGGTTTAAGCTCCTCCTTCAGGAAGTGAGTTGGAATAAAGCCCTGTGCCTCACAAGCAAGAATGCATTGAGAGAGTCGTGGGCAGCCGAGAAGAGGGACTCAGGCCAGAAAGCGGGGCCTCGTGTGCCCACGGCCACTTGCACCTGATGCCTGCACGCTCTTGGCCCCTCCCAGCGGCACTTGAGGTGTGTGCCTGGGTGCCGCGGGTACTTCTTCCCCACTTGGATTTCCTCAGTGACGCTCGTACCCGTTTATTGTCCTGGGGTACCCTGTGCACACTCGAGTAAAGCAGAGGCTCTGTCGTTTCCCTGGGCGCATGCATGCACAGTGGTGAGGGGCACCGTGAAGACAGCACAAGGGGTGCCAGCCCGGCGCGCCCCGCGCCCTCCCCTGACAGCAGCAGCACCCACAAGGTAAGCAGCACCCACAAGGTAAACAGCACTCGGCTCCTAACGGCCTGGCAGAAGGATCCACATTGCTCACTGGGTATGTGTGGAATCCTAGTTCTAGTCCTGCCACACGCTGCATTCTAAACTCTTCCCAGTGACTGCTGCCTCCACCCCACTCAAGCATTGCCCTGGTCCCAGCTCAGGCGCAGGGATGCGCACGCAGGGAGTGTAGCTCTAATGCTGCTAAACATCGGTAGCTGCTTGCGAGGCACCAGACCCTCACACAGAATCCTGAGTTGGGGTTTTCAGAACAGCCAGGGGAAAACAGAGAAGTCACTTCCTGCACCATGACCACGCCCAAGGTCGAATGGGGTGGGGGTCTGAGTGTCGGGCACTCTGCAAGGCAGAAAGGTAAATGGAGTCTTGGAGCCTCAGGCACTCTGCAAGGCAGGAAGGTGCGCGGTGCTCGCTGATGCCTGACCTGTGCCATCTGGGTCCTGCCATTCAGCAACACGGCGGGTATGTCTGAACTCTAGCAGGAGTGGTGGAGGGCCCTGGGGGGGCTTATAGAAGAGTGGGGCAGCCTTTGGGGACACAGTTGTGCCACACACCCCCTCCAAAGCCCCTCCCATCCAGAGACATGCAGTGTCCACGGGTCCTCCCAGGCTTCCACAAGAAGAAAGTAGCTGACACCCAGAATTCCACTTGCACTCTTCAGTGTCTAGAGTTTATTTCACCAGCCTTTGAGGATTCAAAAAACCATCTGTGAGAAAATCAAGCATCTCAGCATCACAGTTGCTGTGCTCTACTCTGACGTGCCTCCCTCAGAGCTGGGGCAACCTGATGAGAACAGGGCGCCTACACCGCTTAGCTACTCATATGAAAGAACGGGAAATAAATATCTAAGTGGACTCGGTGAGGCAGAGGAGAGGGCTGCCCCTCTGGGCCCTGACACCAGTGGGCGTGAGAAACAGCGTGGCTCTGGTTGGGGGCTGGGGGTGCACACAAAGCTCAGAGCCCTGGATGCCAAGCAGGTCACGCTGCTCAAGACAGGACACTTGCCAGGCACGGAGGCAACATCTAGCCTCGGCTCCTTGGGAGGATGAGAGAGGAGGGTCCTAAGTTTTAAGCAGCCTGGACAGCTTAGAAAGACTGTCTCAACATAAAAAAATCTAAAAAGAGCCAGGTGGGGATGTAGTTCAGTGGCAGAGCACTTGTCCAGCATGCCTGAAGCCCAGGGTTCAATCTCCAGTATCACCAAAAAAAGAAAAAATTGAAAGGCACAAAGGTCTCTGAAGCATGTCAATGGCACAGCACCGAGATCCAGCAAAGTGGTATCTCCCAAGCCAACTGTACCCTAAGCCAGCGACAGAAAACCAGAAGGTCACAGTGCTCATCAGAGCCAATGCTGGGGGCAAGAGATGGTGGCAATAGAGGTGATCAACCCCTATTTGTTTCTGGGGTTCGGGAGTAACGTTCCTAAGTCCAGCTGCCTCCCTGTCGAGACTTAGTTCCACGGACAGGACAGACAGCCAGGCAGGAGTTGGGGCACTAGAGGAGGCCAGGGAGCACTGCCTCCCTAAGTAGAGAAATCAGCAGCAAAGCCGGCCTCTCCCTAAGTCACCGCCCACGAGGCAGGGCTGAGTGCAGCCTTGGAGGTGCCGAGCACAGGTCTGTACAGGAGTCTCCTGTGCTCAAGGCCAGGCACCCGCACCGTGGAGAGCAGAGGGAAGCAGAGGCACCCAACTGGGGCAGCTGCAGGGCAAAGCCCACAGAGCATGAAGGAGAGTGGGCACTTGGGAATCTGTGCTTGAATTATGGGCCATTTTCTTCCCGTGTCTCTAACCTGAACCTACAGGGTAGAGAACTGCAAGGCATCTGTGAAGGGCTGCAGCAGGGCAGGGGAAGGTGACCCGTCACTGTGAAGGCCACTTCCTCTCTCTCTCTCTCTCTCTCTCTCTCTCTCTCTCTCTCTCTCAC